TATATATATATATATATATATATATATACATACAGTATCTCACAGAAGTGAGTACACCTATGACCTGACTTACCATTGGGCTTGAATGGGCTGCAGCCCAGGGGCCCCGCCTTGTAGGGGGCCCCGCCTTAACCCATTTACATTTGTTCAGTTATGTGCCAGTCAGAAATGATTAACAACTTCCAGCTTCCAACTACGAATATGGAATTTATAATTTTTTTTCACATAGAAAAAGGACACGCGTATTAGCCTAAATCATGTCTGCGCTGCGCCGAATCGCAGATTAATTTGTGATCACATGGCTACTTTAAACGGTTCCATTAAGCCTTTGGCCCAAAAGAGCGCAATACCCTAATATCTTACAGGGACTTTGTCCCGTCTCACTACCTCCACACAAAGTGGAGCAAAAATTTCATCAAAACGATTTTAAAAAATTAAAATAGCCATTTACAGGGTTCGTACGGTCATGAAAAACCCAGAAAGCTTTGGAAAAGTCGTGAAAATGTATTTTTACAAATCTCTAGCCTATATAATAGAATATATGTTTAATCACATTCTGGATCTCGGTGCGGGATTGCGCATTTTGGTTTTACTCATATTCCCGCAAACATTTATTTAATATACAATGTCGGTTAGATGAGTTAAAAAAATTCACGCAGAATATCAGATTAAGTCAATCATTTGAAAACAGCGTGTGTGGTTCAGCTGTACCGCGTCTTCTCGCTCTCATTCTCAAAATTGCCTCACATCAGCGCATCTCATCTGCACTAAGATAGCTGCTGCACACTGCCATACAAGACTTTCGCTCAGCTGACAGAACTGTCACTTGCCTAATCGGGTCAGTGTTGCATCATCACAAAAGTTTATCATTTGCACGTCTTTTTAAGTCTTTTTAAACCATTCGGTACTTGCCTATCCAAACTACTTTTCTGGGCGCTCACGGTCACATCAAAAGTGCCGAGCACACGGAGCTGCGCAAACACCTCCAGAAAAAGTTAATGGTTTCATTGTTTCTGACTTAAGTAACCTTGCATTTTAATAAATAATGTTACACAAAGACAATTGTGGGCTCCGGCTCTCCCGCCTCACAGCTCTCGCCTGTAAACACACAGGAGGAACAAAACATGAACAACTGTACATGTGACCCTGGAGCACAGAATCAGTCATGAGGGTCAGTTTTTTTAAATCGAGATTTCTACATCATCTGGAAGCTGAATAAATAAGCTCTCCATTGATGTGACAGCAGGTATACTAAAAGCTGCTGTCACTTTCATACCAAATGTTAATGTTAACAATGTTAATTAATTAGGCCTATTGGTTATTGTTAATTAATGTTAACAACAAAAGGCAAAATCACTCACTGCTCTTGACTGAATAACTTTTGTAACTTTAATTTTAAGCATTAATCTGTTGTTTAATTTATAGTGAATTTACTGTTTTTAATTTACAGTTTATTCCATTTCTGCAGCATTTCTGTACCTGATTTTTTTCTACCAAAGCTGTTTCTAAAACTGGTTGATGTATGGATTCAACTCACTCATTAAGACAGTCACTTGCTGCCACCTACTGGCGGTTGTAGTTTCATATTTGAAAAAGTAGCTAATTATTTCATTTTTGCAATCATTTAATATCTCTTCATTAAAATGTTGTATTTAAACTTAACATAACTTGTGCAAAATCCAGACTTTTCTCCCAAATAAAAGAGTTGCGGATAAAACTTTAGTTTTAGCTAAAATAATCAATTAATGAATAATAAAATATTATGTAGTAGTATGATTTTATATATATATATATATATATATATATATATAGCCTACACATACACACACATTATATACGTGTGTGCATATATATGTATGTACTGTATGTATGTATATCATTTTCTTTAAAGAATTTTCTTTTTCTCACCAAGGCTGTATTTATTTGATCCAAAATAAAGTAAACCCAATAATATTGTAAAATATTATTACAATTTAAAATCACTGTTTTCTATTGAATGTATTTTAAAATGTAATTTCTTCCTTTGGCAAAGCTGAATTTTCAGCAGCCATTACTCCAGTCTTCAGTGTCACATAATGCTTCAAAAATCATTCTGATATGCTGATCCTAATCCTCATTTTCCTCTGTCCTGTGTAGTAATTTCTCAAGTGAAGCATCTCAGACCGGCCCCTATGGACCCCACAGCCAATCAGAAGCCACAGCACCTGTGCCCTCAGCCCCGCCTTCTTCAGCATCAGCATCAGCTTCTTCCTCACCCCCATCCTCATCCAGCCCAGCCTTCTGCCCTGTCCAGCCCTCTCGGCACATCGTGGAACGGCAGTCGCGGATGCTCAGCTTCCGTGTGGAATACAGACAGCGCTCCACAGAAGTGGTGCTGGAGGATGCCAGCACAGTCGGTGAGCACACACAATGTTTTGATACATTAACACGATATACATAATCATTTAATCGTTCAGTCTTTTGGTAGTAGACCGCTTACTGGCCCACATCCAAAAAAAGAGTCTGCCTGTCAGTGCTGCTCTTGCAAAGGTAGCACACATGATTAGCACTGTCCTTTCTTAGAAGTACACGTCATACTGAGCATCTAGTAGCAGGTTTCATGTGCTCTGTTACCCACAAGGCTGACAGGTTTTTCCATTTAGATTGGGCTTTTGTCAAATAGGCAATAATTAGCATGCCATCTGCAATAATTAACCTGTTTTAAACCGTTTTGTTTTCTCAGAAATGATTGGAGCAATTTCTTGGTAGATGTAGATACTGAGCTTTGATTCTTGGTATGACACAAGCCACTGAACTGAACCACATACTGTTTATGGGACTGTATTTCTGTGAATGAAAGTTGAATCTTATGTCACGAGCGAAGTCAACAGGAAGAGCTGTGAGCTGCAGGGTGTGTGGCACTCAGCAAGCCACACACATACAATGAAAAAGGAAGAAAATTGCTGCTGTGCCTTTTTGGTGATGGTCTAATAGTCGACTCATTGGTGTGTTAAACATAGTGTTATTTTGTTTTGTTCAGGTCTTTTTTTTATTTTTCAGTTGTAAACGTGAAATGTGTTGTGGATATGTGTCATGCCCGTTTTGTGGGTGACCAGTCTTTGACACAAGCATGGTTTCATCAAGTTTCTGTCTGGAGCTTGACAATTGTTATGCATTTCAGTATAAATGCAATTCAGATCACTCTGCTCATAAACCAGTAGCTAAGATGATTAACTAACTTAGTTTTTGTGTGTGGTGCCACCGTGGAGAAATGAGAAAAAATACCAAACACTTTAAGAACCGATGTTCTGGTGAATGCTTGTCTGCAGTACAGATATACATTTACTAGTACACATATACTAGCAGGTTTGACAAGTGAAAGGGTTTTTTTTTTTTTTGGCAAACAAAAAAATAAATTTAACAGCTTGGCTCCTGAACTGGCTAAAGATAAGCACTTTACTAAAACTGTGATAAAACTAGACTAGATACGTGCTGTCCTCTAGTGGTAACATACTAAACTGCCATGACAATTTTATAACCTATTCTTATTTCTTTCTCTCTGCAGGAGATATTAAATCTATTTTAGAGACTGAGCTTCAGGTGCCTGTCTCTAAAATGCAGTTAAAAGGCTGGAAGAGTGGAGATGTATCTGACAGTGTAAGAATGACACTATAGAACACATGCTGCTGATATTCAGATTATTGCTGCATTGATCTTTTAATGCATTAATGGTTCATTAATGATCTTTTTTTGAATATAAAACTTATACATATGTTTAAAATTATTTAAATAAGTCGCAAATATATGATGAAAATTGCAACTGCCATTTTGAGGGGTGGGGTTGAATCTAAAAATATCTGTTTTATTATTATTATTATTATTATTGGTGAAATTATTTTAGTGTTTTTTGTTTGTTTGTTGTCATTAAATTACTCTTTGTAGTTTTTCTTATATGTTGTACTTAGAAAATGGCAACTTTGAAAGTATTTATGACCTCTTTGATGGTTTTCTTTTTTTTTCCCACTTTCTCTCAGACTGTTCTGCAGAGTTTACATCTGCCCAAGAACAACAGTTTATATGTGCTCACCCCTGATATTGCCCCTTCAGCCAGCACCAGCCAGAGCAGGTATGTATTTGTAATGCCCCGAGCATCTATTTTCTGCATTGACTTTAGGCATGATACAAATACATTACATTTATTTGACTCTTTAGCTCAAACTGTGTTGCTAAAACAATGCTAAAAACAAGTAATGTACATGCACTTCCTGGAATATACAAAAATGATCAAACAGGCTTGACACTAGCTCTTCTAACTAAAAGGTTTGACATCCATTCCTGCAGTTGCCATTTATATATGAGTGGTCCATCTCTTTATACAAATATATCTCATATCTAAAGCCTGAAGTTTGTTTTTTAAGAGTCTCAGAATCCAGGTTCATCCCACCGTCTAAAAGTTGCACATATATTTGTGTGAAACTTTCAGAAATATGGGCACTATACATTTGTGTTCTCAGTACTTCAAAATCCTGCAAGTCTATAATTCCTGCAGAGTGTCTATTAGCATTTCTATAATGTGTTTAATATAATGTCAGCAACTTGTGAATTGCAGTCAATAGAGAAAGATGCATTTTGGCAACAAAATGTTGTAGTTAACATGTACCAGCAGGGGTTTACTGGACCTTGTTAACCAGACAAACCTTGATCCCTTGCGTTTAAGATAATTCCCACACTCACCGCTAGGTGGCGTTGCATGACCACATTTTAGATAGAGACATTAGATCAGCATTTTGCTTGTAAGGCGTTTTATTCAATTGAAGAGCTTCCCTTTTTTTTTATTTATTTGTGTTTTTATTTATCTAATTTATATATATCAAAGGTTTGAGATCAGTAAGATTTTTGAAAAAGATACTAATGTTATTTTTTTGTGCAGCAAGAATGTGTTAAATATATAAAAAGTGACAGTCAGGACATTTATAATGTTACAAAATATTTACTTTTCAAATAAATTATCTTTATATACGATAAATAAAATATTTTCATCAAAGAATCCTGAAAAAACATTGGTTTCCATGAAATATATTAAGCAGAAAAAAATGTTCAACATGGATAATAAGAAATGTTTCTTGAGCACCAAATCAGAATATTAGTGATTGAATGATTTCTGAAGGATCATGTGACACTGAACTGAACTGAAGTAAGTGCTGCTGACACTTTTTTTTTTTCAGCTTTGCCATCACAGGAATAAATTACATTTTGAAATATATTAAAATAGTTATTTTAAATTGCAATAATAATATTACTGTTTTACTGTATTTGTGATCAAATAAGAGACTTATCTGAAAAAAAAATCTGACTGACCCAAAACTTTTGAATGTTAGCGAGTATATTGGGTCTGATAAACGGTTTAGGAATTTAGTAACACATATGTGAATTTAGAGATGCTGTGACTCGATATACATTACATTCAAAAAGAACTGAAGAAAAATATCGCTGATTATCGCCCTATGTCTTTATTTAAATAAGCAAGGCGGTGACATTGTGGTCAGAGTAGTGCAGTTCTAAGTAATAAATGAAAGTAACTTCAATTAGAAAGGGCTGCGTGTGTGTGTTATATTGATGTGCATGTGTTTGTGTGTGTAATTATGTGTTGATTAGCACTGCTGTAAGCCCCGGCGGGAGGTGGTGGCGATGCCATCGAACGACTGGGTATAAACTGGCATCTCTGTCAGCTTGTGTGGACACTGTACTCTAGAGTGCGAAAACATTCTGAGAAAAGTACTAAATGGGCTGTAAACTAACATTGTGATAACAGTACCCTCCAAAGCACATCAGCACTCCATTTTTTCCCCTCCTGTTATTTGGCACCTTTTCAGATGCCTGCATTTCATGTGGTCCAGAAGCATGTTGTGCGTGTGTGTGTTTTCTCTTAGCTTTCATTTTGGAGATTGCAACAAAAACACACATTACTGTGGCGTACCGCATGCTATTGTGGACCACATTGCTGTTCACGGGTTTAACGGATCCTTCGAGATCACATATATTACTGTGATCCTGACAGCTGCTCTCACTCGTCTCGTTTTTCCCTATCGGGCATTTGACGTGCCACAGATACCTTGTCACCTCTGTCTCTAAATGGCACAATATCTAATATCCAGCACCTACTAGAGATCATCATCAGTGGCAGGCTCTAATTATTTCTCAGAAACTATTTTAGAGGAGTCGAAATAGGGGAGAAAAAGAGAGGGCCGGTGTTAGTTAGGTGTGACCCCATTGTTGCCCGTGATTGTCCTCTCCTGGTGCAGTGAGAAGAGGGCTTCCAGGAGGGTGAGCAGACAAGCTGTTAACTGCCTTTATAAATAACTGTCACAGAGAGACAGGGAGAGAGTGAAGTGCTCCTCAGCAGACTTCGCTCCTGCTGTACTGCTGTTCTTTGGTTGTATCTCTCAGGGGGCAGTTCAGATGCTGTTTTCTCATCTGCTCAGGCATCTTTACTTACACTTATTTTAAACCTGGCTTGAGCAGAATGTCAGTGTTTCTGTGTGATTTAGCAAATTAATAGAAAGAAACTGTGTGAAATGAGAACTGGGTCAAAAAAACTAAAACAAACAAACACATGCCTTGCAGAGTTTGGGGTCAGTAAGATTTTTTATTTATTTTTGTTTTGTTTTTTAGAAATTAATACTTTTGTTCAGCAAAGATGCATTGAATTGATCAAAAATGACATTTATAATATTACAAATGATTTCATTTAAATAAGTGCTCTTCTTTTTAACTTCAAAAATCACTTTTTCCACAAAAAGTAGCACAAGTGTTTTTAACATTGATAAAAATTACAAATGTTTCTTAAGCAGCATCTTTGCATATTAGAATGATTTCTGAAGGATCATGTGACACTGAAGACTGCAGTAATGGCTGATGAAAATTCAACTTTTCCATCACAGGAATACATATATATTAGGCTAATTGAAATAATACTTCACAATATTACCTTTTGTTACTGTATTTTTGATCAAAGAAATGCAGCCTTGGTGAGCACGAGGCTCCATAAAAAAGCATAAAAAAAGTTCTCTATCAGCTTGTTTTTAATTTAAATTAAAGTGTGAGGTCTCAGGATGCAGGCTGTGAACAATGGGACAGTACTCAACAAATAAAAGCCACTGTAGGCAATTACTGCAAAGCATACCTCGGCACACCATATCCAAACATATTAATCAAACCCGTCTTCACACTGCGCCGCCTGCCTCATTTTCTTCCCTCTGTTTTGAATGCAAATACGGCACAGGCTTTAGAGCTTTCAAGACAGACACTCCATCCAAGGTAGTTACAGAAATCCAGTGATGAGCCAAGCTCATCTCGCTCGCTCTCCCTCTCGTGGAGGTATCCAAACCTCTGATCTCCAGCATAAATAATGGAACTTTATGAATAATTTAAAACGAATCATCTATTTCTGTTGCTTCCAGGAGATGTGTGTGTTTAAGGTTATTTTAATTTGAACTTCTGCTATTTCAAATACAAATGAGCAAATGAGTCAGTGCGCATTTGGTATTTATCTCATTTTCTGCATCTGATCTCCTGTGAGACTTGGGGGCCCGAGGAATCTGCTGGTTTTGGCAGAAAGGAAAAACAGTTTAAACTACAGCAATTAGTACTTAGACTTGTCAAAGCTAAACAGGCGGTGCAGAAAAAACATTTTGAGTAAGTGGCGGATGCAAAAATAACATTTTAAAAGAAAGAAAGAAAGGGTATGCATGTTTGTGTTTTTTGGGTGTTGGTACAGGTCACCCTAAGAGTGTGCGTACGAGAAATTAGAGCAAGAGGTTGGTATGGCGGAATGAGAGGAACGAGACCGTACGACTTTAATAAAGTCTCAGTCTTGCAGGTTTCTTAGATGGCAGACTTATCTCTGAATGAAACCAATCTGCTCTTCATTTACACAGTGGCTTATTTTTTGTCTATAGCAGTCAGTGACATTCTATTTCCAGTGCCTCCGATGGTGTGGAGAAGCTTTTAGGGTGAGTGGGGGGGGGTCAGCTCCAGGTGCTATTGGGACCACAGAGGGCTGAACCTGGTTAAGCTCCTACAGATGAACCTTATGCTGTAGATCTGTTGTGAGAGGAAATTTCACAATAAATTTATATTCTTTTTATATAACAATGGGTTTTGCTTTTTGATGTTTTTTTTCTTGTTTTGAATGCAAATTATTTTTATTCTTTTATTCAGTGAGGGCACATTAAATTAATCGAAAATGACATTAAAGACGTTTATAATGTTAATATTTGTCTTTCAACTATATTTAAGGAATCCTACATTTCCAAATTTTGTTTCCACAAAAATAGTAAGCATAATAATATTAATAATAAGCATTAACATTTTAAAATGTTAAAATAGAAAACTTTTAAATTGTAATAATATTTCATAATATAGTTTTACTGTATTTTTGAACAATAGTGTGTTTGTGTATGTGTGTTTTTATATAAAAATTTATTTTGTGTAAAAGATGATTTTTTTTTATATGAATATATACAAATTTATATAAAATGTATTGTTTTATAGGAATCTATATGAGATTTTGTGTTTTCACATTTAGTATAATTGTAATAATTTAAACACTTTTTAAAAATATACAATTCTACTTTTGAAGAGGGATACTTTTGAAACTCTATTCAATTCATTTGTGATTTGCAAGTTCACAATTCTGATTCTCACTTGATTCAATATCACTTAAGTTAGAAATAGTACAGTTACAATGTGTATTTTGCTTTGATGTGAAGTACATTATGTGAACAGTACTAAATAAGCTGTTTTTATATAGCTAGTAGTATATAGCAGATAATAAACACCGGTTAGCAATATATCAAACAAGGTTTTGATTTTGAGGGATTTCAAGAATCAATATTAGATTATTATTAATCTTTAAATCAATATTTTTTACCCATACCTTACCTTTAGTTATGCGCATTAGTCAATGCAAATATATTGTATCAGAATGCAAAATGTCTCCAAATCGGGCTTATTTGGTGAGTGTCTTGATACCCCAATTAACCCCCCCCCCCCCACTTTCCAACT